TCAGCTGCTGCTGAAACTGACCAGCAGCGGCTGAATCAGGGACGCTTGGGGCAGAGCCAGACTATGGTAAGGGGGGGCTATGAGGGGTCTGGGGTGGCATCCCCTCCCACCCCACTCCAGACCCCTCATAGCCCCCCCTTCTGATAGTCCGTCATATTTGATAATCCGGCTCCCCCTGGGTCCTAAAGGTGCCGGATTATCGGAAGTTTACTGTAGCTATTTCGGAGTAAGTGTTATTCTTATGTAAAATGAGGTTTACAGATTTCGGAATAAGCCAGCCATCATTTTGAAATTATTTCAAAATAACAAAATGATTGTGTAGATGCTCACATTGTTATTTTGAAATAACGCTAGTTATCTCGAAATAGTGCAGTGTAGAAACATCCAGGGAGTAAAGAATCAGTATTCTAGTATTGGAAAGTTTTAAGACATCACTGACTGTAATAGAGAAACAAAAAACAGGACTATGTAGCACTTAAATGACTAACAAGATGGTTTATTAGGTGATGAGCTTTCGTGGGCCAGAACCACTTCCTCAGATCAAATAGTGGTAGAAAATTGGCACAATCATATATACCAAAGGATATATGTATCCTTTGATTGTATCCTTTTTATTGTATCCTTTGGTATATATGGTTGTGCCAATTTTCTTCCACTATTTGATCTGAGGAAGTGGGTCTGGCCCACGAAAGCTCATCACCTAATAAACCATCTTGTTAGTCTTTTAAGTGCTACATAGTCCAGTTTTTTGTTTCAGCTACACCAGACTAACACGGCTACATTTCTATCACTATTCTGTAATGGAGAAAATCTGTATTACAGGGTGGAAGACCATGATGATCTCATGCCTATTTTCATGCACCAGAACGAAATTCTGAGAGAAACTTATGGAGACTACTTCCTTGCAGAACTTATAGAAGCTCAAGATGAAGAAAATCATGCTGCTGTTTGTGAGGTAGGTCCTTCACATACAGGTTTGGTTATCCCTAGCATTCATTACACTGTATTTGGCTAACTGCTGGTGCACTGACTTCTTGAATAAAAAAGAACTAAGTAGGACTTACTATGATTAGAAAGTATAAAAAATAATTTTGATAGCCATTTGACACTTGAGCAATTCAGCCACATTCCTAGTTAGTTTCCAGTTCTTCCAGGAAAATGATTCTCTCTTTGGAGTGGATATCTGTTTTAAGGCTGGAACATGACAAGTGAATCAGTAATAATTACAGTAGCAAAAATAAAATAATAATTGTTTGTCTCAGGAGAACTTTTTTTTTTTTTTTGAGAAAGGAATGGATATGTACTAATTTATTCTTGACTGAGAGCTAGATCTTGGGCAGCTCTTCTGTGTGAGGCAGTTAAGAGCATCCTGCCCCTGCCTTTGTGTTGCTACTAAAAGAAATATCCAGAACTGCAGACCCTCTGGTCAAGGAAGCGTAGAGAGTACTGCTGAGATGCTCCTATCAAGAAAACTAATTGAAAAGGGTCAGGAAGTCACAGTTCTTCCCTTCCCATGTAGAAACCAGCAGAGTTGGCTGGACATACCATGAGCAGTATGGTAAAGGGCTATATAGTTTTGTGTTTATCCTAGCACAAGGGGAACGTGTAGGCCAGCTCTGCTTTTCAGTGCTTCTCCTAAAGCAGTCTGAGTGCTCCTGAAGCAGTGCCTCCAATGGTTGACTGTAGCTACCCTCCATCCTCCAGTGATTTAATTTGTATATTTTGATTCTCATGGTGAGATAAAGGAAGCTACAATTTAGACCATTCAGTAGATTTTTTTCTGAGACAATTGGAAGAGGTGATCTTAAATCAGTTATTGTTATTTTACACACTTTGCACTATAAATAACCAAATTACATTCACTAGCAACATTAATATTGCATGTGATGACTGGTAACCAAGGATACATAGTCAAAAATATATCCTTAAGGTAGAATCATAGATGCTAGAGATGGACAAGATGAGTGAATATTGTAGTTAGTTTCCGTATCTTGATCCATGCAGGAAAATGTATGCAATCTCCAAAAATCAGGAATTAGTTTCTTAATTAAAAGGAAACTGAGAGTGGCTGGCATGAAAGAGTTTTTAAAACATTAATATTTTGCATTGTCTCGGGAGAATGCATTTTTAACCAAGCGTTTTATTTCATGTTATCTAGTTGCTGTGTTTTGTAATTCTATGAAGTATTATAGCAGATAGGAGATATAACTTACTTTACCTGCAGAAATCTGCTTCCTGTAGCAAAATGCTGTAAAAAACCCAAACAAACCCTTTAAAAAGCAATCACAGCAGTTTGAAACCACGCAGTAAACAATAAGCCTTTAGTGTAATAACACATTACCAATAGCTATCTTATAAATAATGTATTTCTAACATACATTTATAGCTCAATATGAAACCAGCAAAAGATGCTTCAGGCCTTCATAGGATAGATTCACCAGTGCTGCTGCAGATTGGAAAGACACCTCCATGTGAACCAAGATAGATGCCAATTTTCCCTGCAGAGAATGAAGCTGGCAACCTCTTTTTGCACATATGGTAGATGGATTGGTTAATCAGCCTCTGCTGAGCCTTGGGCCTAAAATTACATAGCAGCCAGACAACTGCAGAGACCCATCTTTTGTTCAGTTAGGCAAACAAGACTAACAAACAATCACTTGTTGTTTGGGGAAAAAATGAACTTTTTTATTTTTATTGAAGCGTTGATGGCTTGATAAGACAGCCGGACAAATCCAGCCTTTCATCACAAGATTTTATTAAATATAAGAGGAAAAAATACATATAGTGGTTATTTATCAATAGATTGCATATAATACTCAAAATTAAGTTCCTATCTTCTGCCCGCCTGTTTTAGTGAAAAATCAATGTTGATTCCCTGTTCTGTTCATTCCCTCTATGGGCACCTGATATTGGCCGCTGTTGGAAGACCGGACACTGGTCTTTCTAGATGGATCGTTGCTCTGACTTAGTATGACTATTCTTATGGTCTTATTTTTATTGTCAATGTCTGTTTCTTGTTTAATCTTGTAACTTGCAGGAAAGTTGTAATTCTATTCACTAAACCAATGTCACCTGCTATTTCATCAATACAAGGTCCTTATCACTCACGTATCTGCTGCTGTATCCATTGCCATTTGTTGCTTGATATGTTCAAAACTTAGAATTATGTAGTGCTTATATTTTTGTGCTTCCTGCCCCTTGAATTAAGCCATGTCACCAGGAAATAAAATATTTTCTTCCATTTAAGAGCACAACAAAATGTGTACACTAATGTTTAGTAATTAGACAACCACTGTCTTTAGCTACATCCAGATTTTACTTTAAAATGGTTTTAGATTGAGCAAGAACCTTTTCTGAAATGTTTAAGTACAAAGCACCATCTATAGTTATATTTTAAATCTAAATTATTTATAAATGGTACATATAAAAACACAAAACCCCCACATTTTTTAATTCTTCCCCTGTGCATTTTAAAGTCAAGATTATTACACTTACTTGTGTCTTTCTGTGAAGTATCTGGTATTAGCCATCATCAGAGACTAGGTACTGACCTAGTCAGACCTTCATGCTGGTCCAGTCCGGTTATTCTTATTTACATTTTTCAAATTTTTGTATAAAGTAGCTTTTTTTTAAGAGGGGATTTAAAGATAAAAAGTATATGAATGGCTTGTTCTTGTGCTCCAAATTCATGTTGTTATATGACTTACAGCTTTTCTGAGTGTAATCATGTTATTTTGATATTTTAGGATGATGGCATGGCAGTAGGGCTCATGAGTGTTTGCGCTGAAGTGAATATACAGTTGCTTCATGACTGTTTTGACCTGGGGCCTTTCCATGGTCTCTGCAAACCACATCCTGATGATATTCTCAAGCCACCACAGGAGCCAAGTATTCAAGCAGGTAAAAACAGAGTAAAATATATGGATTCAAATCAGTTTGGCTACATTCATTTTTTAATTTCAAAATATGTAATTATTTTATAGGGTTGGAAAGGGACCTTTTGGAACAGTCTAGCTGTAAGCTTTCTATATCCTACCCCTCTGAGACTTTCTAGATCAAGCAGAAAACACATAATGACAGTCTGGCATGGAGATGGGCTGAGGACCGGGTTGAGAAGGTTTGACAGCTGTTGTTTCTGGTTATGATATGCTTGTCACTGTTGAAATTGGAGGATCTTTCAGGATCAGAAGCGTTATATAAATAAAGTTAAAGCAATAGACACGCTTCCCCATATCATCTGCAACTGGGCTGTTAACGGAAGGTTTCATTTTGAAAGTGATTCTGATGCCTGAGAATAATTAGGCACCTAGTTAGCTGTGAGCGCTGTTTATCAAGTGACCAGTATGATCTCATTGTTTCCTCTGTCTATAATCTTGTACCTAGTTTCTAACTTGAAGATCATACAATCTATCTCTGTCATAGCACAAATAAACAATAATGATTGTAATAATAAAGTTGGTGTATGTATCTGAAGAGTGGGAAAAGTTCTCTCAATGATGCACTGTCATCCGCTGGCCTCTCTTAAGAAGCACTGAAGAGTTTGTTGTGAATTTGTTTTGTTGCAGAGATACTACCTTTAAATTTTTTTTTTAAATAATCAATAAGGTTATGTCTACACTTGCCCCTTTTTCAAGAGAGGGATGTAAATGAAGACATTTGAAATTGCAAATGAAGCCGGGATTTAAATATCCCACGCTTCATTTGTGTAATCACATTATGGCACGATTTCGAAATAGCGCTACTTTGAAATAACAGACACTGTTAAGACGTGGTTATTTTGAGAGAAAACCCTTCTCTCGAAATAGCCCTTATTCCTCATACAATGAGGTTTACCAGTTATTTTGAGAGAAGGGTTTTCTCTCGAAATAACCGTGTCTTAACAATGTCTGTTATTTCGAAATATCTCCATAATGCGATTATGCAAATGAAGTGTGGGATATTTAAATCCTGGCTTCATTTGCAATTTCGAATGGCTTCATTTGCATCCCTGTCTCGAAAGAGGGTGCAAGTGTAGACATACCCTAACAGAATAAGTATGAGCACTACTAAAGTGTTACTACATGTATCACCAGTCACCCCGATATTCTAAAACGGTCAGCCTTGGGGAAGAAAATGAAGGAAAGAACATTCTCCTAGCCAGTCTGTCAATTCTCATCTCTGCAAAGAACCACCATGTTAAAAAGATTAAGGAACTCAGTCATTTTATTGTATTCTTCTCCTTGTCTCTGGAGCTTGCTGGAGTGTTTTTGCAGACCTAAGTGAAGGACAGTATTGGGAATATAAATAGGGCTGTGAGAGGAGAAAAATCATTAGTACAAGTCTACTGCAGATGCGCCAACCTCTTGACTGTAGTATAGGTGGATCCTCTCTTTCCTAACATTGTATGCTGGGTCATCTTTCTTCAGGATCAGTTGGCTGGGTACATAGTCATCTGAAAGGATCTTCTAAACCAGGGGTCTCCAAACTTTTCAGCCCGAGGGCCGCATTAACTATCAAACAGCAGTTCGGGGGCCGACTACACACTTGAGGTCCAAATAAAAAACAATCAAAACATGGATGTTGTTTTTAATTATTTATTTAATATTATTTTATTCAGTTATTATTTAATAACACATTCATACACTACACATGAACACCTGTATTAGTGTGAATGGTGAAATTGTTTCCTGGATGCCAAAATAGCAGACATTTCTGGCTTTAGATTTGTTGTCCCTAACATCAACAGTGACCTGAGATTATCATCGGACAAGTTTGTTCTCAAATTGTTCTTCACGTATTTCATTCTTGAAAATGTTTGTTCACACAGGTATGTTGTTCCAAAGATTGAAAGGTACCTTGATGCAAAAGTTTTGACATTAGGAAAGTCTTCCTTGGGCAAAAACTGGTAAAAACCCACCAGTCCTATTTTGAACTTGTCCCTAAGGAGGTCATTTGCTTGCAACTCAATGACTTCCAGCTGCAGTTCATCTGGGCAACTGGCCACATCTGCTTCAAATGGGTTTTGAAACAATCTCACTTCTTCTGCCTTTGAATCCAAAAAGGTCTCCACGGGCCGGATGAGAGGGCCTCGCGGGCCGCATCCGGCCCCCGGGCCGTAGTTTGGAGACCCCTGTTCTAAACCCATGTAAATTAGGATCAGGTTTGGGTTTTTAAAAGGCCAAATGAATATTTAGAAAAAGACACTAAATATTCAAACCTTAAGAAATACTTGTCAATATTTTAAATACCTTTGTAGCTGTGACCCGTTCTGGTCTCTCATTGAGAGCTGGCGCTCAGAGAGTCTAGGTGCTGATGAAGGCCTAATCTGACAGTCCTGACTCTCAAAATTTCCACTGACTTCTCTCTGAGTTTTCATTGACCAAGGACTGCAAGATCCAAGTCCATAATTTATGGTAAATTAGTCCTGATGAACATCTGAATGATTGAAAGAAGCTATGGACTTTATTTGTTTTATGGCGAGTTCTATTATTTGTCAAAAAATGCATATATTAGGATTATTCTAAATATAACATAAAATAATAGAATTTATTGTAAAGCAACAAGTATTCTATTCATGTTCTTATACAGCCTTTTTCACTATATCATCTGAGCACTTTCCAGAATGCAATAAACAACATGAATAACATTTGTCATGTGTGAGTCTTTCCCTTCCCCCCCACTTCTCTTCCTCGGGAAAATTGTTTAATTTCTTTGTTCCCTGTAATGCTGTATGTGTTATGGAGACAAGGTTGAATGTAGAAAGAAAGTAGCTGGAAAAATGGGAAGTAATATAGTTCTTAGTTCCCATAGAATTTTGTTGCACAGTTTTGGAAGAAACTGGCTCTGGCTCTTGCACAGATTAACTGTAGGGTTGCTACAGCTCCATTGGGCTTGAGGAGTAGATATATTAACTGTCCTTATCCCTGAACTACAGATGATCTCTTAAGTGTCTTGAACCAAGATCCATTGGTTCTGCCTTGAAGAAAAAGGCAGAGATCTTCAATTTGACTTGATGTTTAACTGAAAACTTTGAAAGCCCACAACTCTTCTCATTCATTCAAATGCTGAGAAGCAACTTTATTGTCACACAACTTTGAACACAACCCTGGGGAATAATTCTGAGGAAAAAACAGAATTGAAGTTGCTGAAATTTTGTAGATAAATTGGGCGTATGTCACCTAACAGTAAGAGTTCTGAATTAATAATTTGGTATTTTATTATATTGAATAATCATTACATTATTGATGATTCTTCATCATCTTTAAACTAAAAAAAGTTATTATAATGCTTTTTAATAAGTTATGGTTTTCCTTTAAAACACTATAAGTTGTACCAGTAAATTCTTAGTAGGTATTGTATGCATGCTTTGAAGAGTTCATCTGTTGTATCTGGCCAAAGCAGCCAAGAGGAAATTTTTTTTTCTTGTTTTTTTGTTTTGTTTTTGTTTTTTAAATCAAAGTAAATAATAAAACTAACTCGCATTTATTAATATAACATATTCAACCAAATTAATTAATGTACTAGGTTCTTGGAGGTTACAAAAAATTGTATGGCCTCTATTTGCTGTCATTTTGCATGTTTTCTTTATTGGAAATTTCTATTTTATTTGGTAAATTTTCCAAAATCTGTACCTGAATTGATTATTTAATAAGAGTGTTATTCATGTTGTTTGTTAGGTGTTAAAGGATAGTTTGTTTAACAGAAAGGTAACATTTTAAACACTCTGTATAAAAATCACTTCTGCTCTCAGTTAATCAAAGTTCACTTATGTGGTGTGATGCCATAAATATGTTGGATCTTCAGCCATCCATAAAGAATACTAAGAAAAACAGGTGACCCAATATTTTTATGTAAAAAATAGCACATTGAAAAAAGGCATAAATGTAATTCCTTCCTCTTTCCTGTCATCTTTAAAAAGCATATTTTGACATGGGTATATCTTGCAGGATCAGTACTGTTTTTCTGTGTGTACACCATTTGTACACTGCTTTGAAAATGTAGAACCAAATTGTCTGCTGCTATAAAGAGAATGAAGCTGTATTAATTTACTATCAGAAAATATGGTCCATTATATCTTGAATGAATTCAAAGTCTGAGTGTTTAAAATGTAAGCCACACTCTTTTGTACAAGAAATGCTATGTTCATGTATAAATAGCTATAATAGAGAATTTTCAAGCTGTTTAACTTGCCATAGCCCTTGTAAATAGAGATTGCAGCTTATTGTTTTTTCCTTTTAAAATCTAATATAGGGCAATAAAAATGAAAGCGTATACAAAAATCTATGTTTACCGTAATGTTGATATGCCACTTACATTTCATGATAATTATAGTAATTTGGCTGTTACTCTATGTGGAGTCAGGAATTGGTAGCTAGAAAACACTATGATATCGAGAGAATGATTCAAGAGGTTTTCATCAGGCTTCTTATTGGGCTGGCTGTTTGATCCTGCTGATTTTCACTTCTACCCCCAACCCAGCAAGCGTAGAATCCTTTTAATTTTCTTTTGGTTGAAGTCTTTCTTACTTCACTTACAGTTGCAATAGATAATGTTCTTCCAGATCACACATGTATGGTACATGTAGAAATAACAATGATGCAACTGGATTTGGCTGTGTTAGATGGAGGAGCCATTAGGGAGTTAAATTTTAGGGTAAAATCAGAAACAACATATCAATATTTATATGAAAACCAGAGGTATGTATTAATTAACTTGTGATATCTGCAAGCCTGTTTGTAATGAGAAATACCGTTGGATTAATCAGGGTGGCATTTGATCATATCTGTGAAGGTGCCCATCTGTGATACCCCAGGAGAAATTACATACTGTACTATAATATGTGCATTTTTGCTCACCTGCACATTGCATCAACATTTTATCTTCTAATAGTGATTATAGCTTTTTTTTTTGTTAAATCATGCTGAATTATTATAAGTTAAGATAATAAATTTATAATCTAACTATAAGTTAGTAAGGTTTCTAACCATGAAGCATAATTTTTGAAACCCCATTCCAGGGCTCAGAAGTCTTCAGATTTTTAGGATATTGTTTCGGCATACATTTCATGAGATTAAAGATAAACTTAAAATTTCCAAGAGTTTTTGTTAAAGCGTCTCTTCGGAGTCTTCATTTTAAGTATATAAAAGATGAACTAGGAATATGTCTGTAGAATTTGGAAAGTTACTTTTAAGAAAATTTTGATAATTAATTAATATATATGAAATGGCTTACATATAGGGAACTCAGCTTGTATTGTTGTGGGAGTTTGGTGGTTATTTGCTTGAATGTATTGATTCTGTTGGTGTGTGTTTGTCACTTAAATGAACTATAATCCATTAATATTTGGTTTCCCGTATTGAATATAAATTTGAGAATTGCAGCATGATTTCACATTATCTAAAATAACTCACCGTGGTGTTATACTATATACTAAAGTACCATTCCTGCAAGATGTTGAGTAATCTCACCTTTCATTGACTTCATAGGGGATATAGTAGCAGGGCAGGGTTAGAGACTGTATTTTCCCAAAATTGAGTAATTGCTGTCAAGTAGCTACCCTAAGGCTGCCATAGATGGAATACAAGAAATAGCAGTCAGCTTCTCCTGCATTGATGTCAGCTTTCGGTAGTGTCCTATTGCACAACTGTACATCTGTTTAAAACAGTAAGTCATATGTACACAGCAGTTCAGCCATTAAAAATTAAATGCAATAATGCATAATAAACATTCTGAAATTGATTTTAGATTTTTTTGCCATTTAGCATTTTTAATGTGAGAAAACAATCTTGGGCCAGATCATCATCCGATGTAAATTGACACAGCATTGGTTTCCATGATGCTGTGCCAACTTACACCAGCTGTGGATTTAGTCTATGTGAAGAAAATGTTGAACATGGTGAAATTGTGAAGTCTGGTGTTTATCGATATTAATACAAATAACTCATACTTCAAATATATGCTTTAATTTTACTGGTTTAAACTGTATTCCAGAAGCTCTATTTACACCGTATTCTCTCTCTCTGTATATAAATAAAAATATCAGGACTTTCAATGGCTAAGTGTAAGATGATAGGACAAGGAACTAAAATTGACTCCCATTGCTTTTGTCATCAATTTTGACACCAAAAATACTATTATCTTGTTAGCAATTGACTATTGACATCATCATTGCTTTTATTGCTATGTATTCAGCTCAATGCTATGTAGACTTTAAAATCTGATTTCAATAAACTTGCATGTGTGTTGTCCTTTCTTTTCTTGCTTATAGAGTCCTTTCATCCCTGCTTCGCTTACTGTAGTTTAAAAACTGGTTTCTTTGTATTTATGTACCTTCTCTGCTAAAATGGGTGTTCATTAAACAGATTAGCCAGTATCTGCTGTTTGGGACTGAAAAATACAACACAGATCCTTTCTAACTAGCTGAAACAGTTACTTGAGCATCCAGTGGACAGACTCCTGGCTGCTGCTGAAAATCATAGGTAACTGAAACTCTGGTTCAGGTTAAAGTGAAATCCATTGCCAGCCCAGCAGCTCCTTTGGGGCTCAAATGTGCCTCCAGATCTCTATGCAGATGTTGCAGTGCTTCAAAGGAACTACAGGAATTGTGTAAAAGGATCCTGGAATATGTCTGATCTGAGCCCCAAAGGCAGGCCCCATCTGCAATGGAGGAGACAGGTAAGTAACAAGATAGGAGAGGCACTATTAACCCTTTTAGACTGCCAGCCAAACTACTGCCTCGGGACAAAATTTAAAAATTGCTCAGCATAAAATATGGCCTTTACTTTGCAAAAGGTTAAAAACCCTTTAATAAAAACAGCCTTAGAATAAAAGAAGTATGGGAGGGAGTTACTCAGACTGCAGGGGAGAGGCAAGAAGGGAAATTTTCTTATCTCCTGCTTCGTTTTGTTTTTAGTAAAGGGTGTATATAGCAGGTGGACTAACTATTTTATAGTGAAAACTAGTGATTCTTGGATCTAAAAAACAAAAGAATGAGACTATTATTAGACTAGTGTACCTTCATTTATGTTTTTTGAGATCAAATTTTTCTAACCATTTCTCAAGCACTGTGATAGTTTCCCACTAAAATATACATTGTACTTGTTTAGCGCCTATATCACAGGATTTCAAAGGACAAGCATTCATAAAAACGTAACTATAGTCCCGTTGAGATAGATAATTAACTATATTTTAATTTTATAGATAATAATAATAAGACTTCAGATTGTTCTGGCATCTACCATCTGAGGATGTCGCACTTTCATGAATTAAGCTTCACAGCATCTCTGTGAAGTAGAGAAATATTATCTCCATTTTACAGGTGGAGAGACTGATGGAGGCAGATTAAGTGATTTGCCAAAGGTCATACAACAAATTAACTACAGAGTGGGGCACTAAATGTTAAGAGACAGACTATGCAATTAGTATTTCCACATTGACTCCTTTCAGTTAGGATACAAATATAATATTACCTCTATACATAGTGTGAGGAATGTCTTCCAGGTTGTCTTTTGTTCGAATTCTTTTTTTTTTAAATGACATGTACTGTTTTGTCTTCACTAGGACTTTAGCGTATCTGATTATTTTCTCTGAAGTGAATGTAATGGCTGAATCTTAACCATGATCATAAGAAACATCTTAATAGTGGTGTTCTGCTGTGAATTATACTTCATGTACTGCTGTGATTCTGATGTTTATGGTTCCATTTTGTAAGCTTGTTTGATGCATTTATTCCTCTTCATTATTCAGATGAAGAAAAAAGCAGCCAAACAAGTCAAGAGGCAGAATCTGTTTTATCTCAAAACTCTGACCGTATTAGTTCACAAGATATGGATATACAGGTAATATTACTAAACATAGTTCATTGGACATTTAAATAAATGCCATAACTATCAAATATAGGATGCCTTTTATATAAAACAATAGAAACATGTTTGTAAATTCAGAAGGATAAGAATTGAGATTTGTTGTTGCTTGTTTAAAAAATGTGTGCAAAAGAAGAGTGCAGACTACCCTTAGTTGTATTTGCATAGCTTTTTACTAGCCCAAGTCATGCCTCCTTGTCTACACAGCGCTTTTTAGCAGTGTACTGTCCTACTGCCTTTCTGCAGGAAAAGGCTCTGGCAACTGCACAGTAGCTGGGAAAGGCTCCAGCAGTTTTCCGTGGAGCCTTTCCCTCCTTGTGGGGGAAAAGACCTGGCAGTGGGGGAAAGCGCTGCCAGCTCCCTGCTGATGGATCCCTTCCCTGCAGCAGGGAAAGATCCCAGTGCCTCCCTCTGCCAGAAACTTTCCTCACAGCCATGAATGGCTCCCGCAGTGGGGAGCTGTCTTCAATCTTTTCCCACTATCTTGCCTCTGCCAGAGCCTTTCACTGACTCATAGCCACACATTGCAGTGTGGACATGGCCTGCTTTTCACTGTCACATGTAACCACATGTATGCTATACACTGGCTCCAGGGGTATGTAGTATAGATGTAGTCTGAGTAGTTAAAGTATCTAGCAATATCCACTGGATTTGTCTACCTGCTTGTCAAAACTAATTTCCAGTGCCTCCTGTAATTTTGAAAAGGTCTGAATATTAGGGTTCCTTTATTTACAACTCTTTTGCGGTATTTTCTGAGAATTTATACTCCTCTGTGCAGTATGGCTCCGAGAAGTTATGAAGTAGTCATTAGGCTTATTTGGAAACCACTGCCATCTGAATTGTCTTGAAGCATCTGGAAAAGAGGAGGAAATAGCTAGAATGAAGTTGGCTCTGATGCAGCTTTGGGAAGGAATTGCCCACCAACTGGCTGAATGACTTATGAGTATGTTTGCATTCAGTAGCACTATGGGAGTTGGGTACTTAGGCCTTGTCTACATTACTAAATGCCATAGGTGTAGCTGAACTGCAGTGAAGCTCCATTGTGAGAAATTCTAAAGTAGACCAAGTTTGGCATTTTTGCCACTATGTTGTAGAATTAAGTCATGTGGTTTTTAAAAAAAGCCCATGTTCTTAGGCTTGCCAGATGGTTTCAACAAAAATACCGAACATCCCCCTCCCCCCCAAAAAAAAACACCAGGGGGGTGAAATTCTGTTCGGGGGGGAAAGGAGGGGTGACCAAAGTTGTTGAACAAAAATTAAAAAAAGGATCCCAAGAGTTATTAAGCAAAAAAATAAATATATAAAATAAAACAGCATGGCCCCTTTAATTGCGTGCAGAGTCAGAATAGGGATAGGAAGAAAAGAGGTTGAGCACTAAGACCCAGGGAAGGTATTGCTTCCCCTTGTTCAGGTCTTTAGGTTTTTTGCCGATGGCCATCTTGTTTTCTTGGTCGAGCCAGAAGGGAGCTTCTCTGCGGAACCAGGTAAGCAGGCAGTCCGGGGCTGGGCCCAGTGCTCAGTATGTCATAGGGTTATCAGGTGTCCGGTATTTTCATCTCCTGGCAGGAGAAAAAAACAGAAAATACTGGACATTTTAGGTGTCTGGTAGTTTCTGAATTTTTTTTACCAGACAGGAGGCGAAAATACCAGACTGTCTGGGTCAGTACCGGACATCTGGCAACCCTACATGTTCTTGCTACTCTACAGCCTCCATTGTTGCTATTCCTGGTGTAGCTCCAGTGATGGTGAATCATTAACTATGAAACGTAATAGTTCAGATGCAGCCTTTAGAAGCCAACGTAAATTTGCTTAAACCAGATGGCATGGAGGATGGTGTTAAGAACAGTTTCCCTGTAAGCTGAGCGCTTGGGCGTCCAACCAGGAGAGTTTCAAATGATGTCCAGCTGATTAACAGAACGCCTATAGTGGTCACAGCTGGCAGCATGTGTGTCCACTGGTGGTGCACATCAACACATGCCTCGGTGCACATAACATAATTTATTCCACACATGGATGGAAAAAATAGAGGAAACATTGGTTAAGATTTCCAGATTCCAGTTTAGTTGCAGTAACAACCTGATTAAATGAATTCCTATCTGCTCAGGGAATCTGGGATGAAGAAACCAAATGGAATACTCTGGAATGTTTTTGCATATTTTTTTATTGTCATCGGTGTTGCAATAAGCTGCCTTTGTCTGCAGACGTAATTGGTTTTAAAAGGACTATTTAAACTGCAAGAGTCATGAGCCTGATACACTATGTAGTGTTTCATAGACGAGACTTTCAAAAGCGCTTCAAGTTTTAACGTTGATTTAAAAGGGATAACCATTAAACCAGTGCTGAGCACTTTAAAAAAAATCCTACCTTTTAGTATCAATATATTATATTAGTTACATCTTAGAGCACCCTTTGAAGTAAATGTTATCACACTGTAAGAGTTGCAGTTGGGGAAATTAAGACCAGAGCATTTGAAATAACTTACCCAGTCCCAGGCAGCGAGTCACTGACAGAGCTGGGATTAAAAGTCAGGAGTTCCTGGTTTGCAATTCTGTATTCTGTGTACTAGACTACACTGAAAGAGACAATAAAATTGTATTATATTCATTCTTTCTTATCCTTATCAAGAAGAAAAAAATTATGAATGAGAGCCCAATATGTCCAGAATTAGTGATCCATAGGAAAACAAATGAGTCATGAATGTTAATTTGTATGTGTTATTGATCACTTTCTCTTTAGCTGGACACCAAAAATGAAGATGTCCTTCCCCAAGCTGCAGATGATGTCACCTCACAATCTACAACAGGAAGTCTTCAGAATAATGTTTCAGAGGTAAGGTCTAAGTAAAATTGAGAATTTACCCCAAATATTCATCCACAGTGCAGTTTTGAATAACATTCATTTTTTAGCACATGGCCACCCATGGTTTTCCCGTTATTGCCAACTTTTGCAATACTTGGTATTTTTCTTAAAGCTTTAGCTCCTGGAGCCATGCTATTACAACAGAATCCCAACTCTCGTTTAAAAAAATGAAAGTAAGAATCTAGTCCTTGTGGTTCCAGAGAAAAGTTTGAAAAGGTGTTATCTAAATGCTGGAAAACTAGAGGATAAAGAAAAAGAATGCAGAGTTCTTCTTCGAGTGGTCCCCGTGGGTGCTCCACTCCAGGTGTCGGGTCCCGTCCCGGCGCCGCTGGTCGGAAACTTCTATAGCCGTAGCCGAGCCGGACCGCGCACGCGCGGACACAGCGCGCGGCGTTCGCGCCTTTGCAACGGACCGGCTCCCCCTTGTCAGTTCCTCTCACCGCTCGGTCTCTGAAAGATAAAGCAGAAAGACCCGGAGCGGGGAGGAGGGTGGGGCGTGGAGCACCCACGGGGACACATCTCGAAGAACCATCGTTACTACACAGGGTGAGTAACTTCTTCTTCTTCTTCGAGTGGTCCCCGTGGGTGCTCC